CTAATTGTGCGATTAATTGGTGAGTATGATAACACACTGCTTTGTTAAGTGTACATTACATAACCGTGTGCTTGATACTGACGTAATTAGGTCGATAAATATGCATATATATATATATATATATTGGTAGCTCTAAGGCATACATCATTAATTATTTGCATGGCATTTCACATGCTGGTAATACTTCCTGGGTACCCACGCCCTGATTATCTAAATGTTGTATGTTGTCTGTATTTACTTGCGCATTGCATTCCCTTCATGGTATGGGGTATTTAACTACAATTCGCTGCTCACGTTCAACAAAATTGAATTATTAACGCGCAATGTATTTATCGCTTCCCCTTTAATGTGTACTCGTGTATAGCAAAATAAGTAGAAGGGACCTGGGAACGTTGATGTTAGTCATTGCTAACGCAACAAACAATAAATGATCGTTAAAACAACACTAATCATATAATAGTAGACTGGGTGTTATATTATGTGTTACACATTATACCTCAATATTGCGATGGAGAGGTTAAATGCGGTTAAATACCGATGGCTGTCACCTCAGTGTTGATGCCTGTAAAACTAGTGTGAGTCTATCAGGAAGATTTCTTATCAGGCTCATTAGGTTCGAAAACGAGCCAACAAACAAGAACTGAACCCTGTTTCATGAAACTGTATCTTTATATAATCACAGTCGAGTGAAAAGATAAACGATGTCTACCTTGTTTAACAATTTGTGAAACTAACTTGGGACACTTGCGAATCTCTTTGTTGACCCCTTAGTTCTCGATATTTCAGAATCTCGTTTTGTCAGATGTATCTTTGCCAAGTCCAATACAAATTTTATAATTTGTGTTGGTTTCTGAATAAAAACAAACATATATACACGGTTAGTTCAGTAATCACACAGTGGCGCTAAGTACCATCAGCCACCTCGAATGTATTAAGTTACCTATCATAGATGATTGATTCTTGAAACACATATTGGATATTATATTTGCAGTTACGTGCAAAGTTCCATTGTGCTGATATGAGTTGGTAATAGTAGCCATGGAGACAGTTTGCGAGGTGTTTAGTACCTTGATTAAATTAATAAATAGCGTATAGTAGTATCACCTTTTGGAGCATTATTTTTTAGCTAATAATAAAAGCGATGTATTATGTTTTATAAACTAAAAAAAATCAATAAATGCTTCTTGTAATGGTTAGCTTACTTCCTGACATTTTTGTTATATTGTTTGTGTGAATTGAATTGATACAGCGTTTTTTTTGTAACCATTATACATAAGTATCATAGCACACACGTGTCAATTTCAGTAAGGAACCTGTATTCATTTCCGACTGCAACTTTGGCGAGTAGTCAGGGGAGAATTTGGAAACTATTTTCAATTATCACTTGCTAATAATTTTCTTCTAATGCAAAATAATTAAATATCTAAATGACTGTTGATGATAAAAGTGACAGGGTTAATTATACAGCATCTACCCAAGCCATTGGGGAATAATGAAACGATTCAGTTTCTACGCCTTATCAGTTAGTAAAGCACGAAGTAATTACATATCTTAGAATTTGATGCAACCGGCAAGTATTTCAACTATGACGTAAAAATGTAACACGCATCATCGGTTCATTTGAAAAATATTTAAATATTAGTCTAGTGGAAATTCAGAAAGAAACCCCTAAAAACATGTCAAGGAGCATTTTTGGGTAAAAGTCGGGAACCAGATATTTTAGCATAATTCGGGTGTGCTGAATCCGATAATCCCGGTTTCCAGGCGAAATTTTGAGTTTCTAAAGGTCTAATTTGCATAAAAAAAATGGCCGCCAATTTTTAAATTTTCTTCAATATCCTCATAACTAGGCAAGCAAATAGTACATATGAAGCGTCAATACCTATGTTTTCAGGGTCAGGGAATATGATGAAAACATTTTTGATCTAATAAGTATTACACAATCCTCATAAATATGCAAATTAGCTGCCGCCATTACTGAAAAATAGTTTTTCTCAAATATCTTGGTAACTAAGTAAGTAAACGTGTCAAATCGGATGTCTTTACCTAGGTTTTCAGGGTCAGGGAATATGAAAAAATTATTTTGATCTAATCAGTATTACATAATCCTCGTAAGTATGCAAATTAGTGGCCGCCATTACTAAAAATTCGTTTTTGTTCAATATCTCAGTAACTAAATAAGATAATCTGCCAAATGAAATGTCTCTACCCAAGTTTTCAGGGTAAGGAAATTTGATAAACACATTTTCCCAACTTTCCCCCGAAACACTGAAATGGTCAGACCAAAGTTTAGAATGAACAGTTCGTCAGAATAGACCATATTCATACAGACTGCTTGATCATCACTATACTGCTGACATGCACACATTGCTGTGCACGGTAACCCCGCCTTGCAACATTTACAACGACGTGTCTTGCATTGTTTCTGACAGGCACACAAAATAATTTCCAAGCAACTTTCTGGAATCGGACTTAATGACATCAAAATAGGCTGCAATCCTGAATCACCATGTTTCCATCCCATGTCGACAGGTGCAGGAAGCTCTGAAATCGGACAATGAGCATTTCTCCATACCATTGTTTGGTAATGTAATCGCATCAAGTGGAAGCGGAGAGCATCACTTGTTGTTGACATCACCTCTGGTTTACCAGACTTTGCAAACAGTATATGCCTTACTGTATCAACTGAGTCAGTTTTCCGCACACCATACAATCTGCAGACAAACGTTTCGGAAGATCGAATAATCTCTTCTCTGAGTTCCCCTAGTCCCAAGTTAATGAGCAGTTGATGGTGCTTTTTGAAGACTTTCCATGCCGATTTGTTGGTGTGATTTGCAATATAAGATGTGGTGTCACATCCAGTTAATGCATGAAAGGGTAAAAAAGCTGTTGTTGAAAACTGTTGCAATGGGTATGTATCATGGCTTCTTCGTGGTACCTGATAGCATCCACAGGTGTTCACATTGTGCACGCGGAAAATGTGAAACTAAAAGAGCAAGAACATCTGTATCTATTGATGATACAACGACGGTATTGAACTGGCTATGCACAGCATGTAACACTAAACGAGTGTCTGCTTCTTCATGATTGGCTCGCAGATTTGTCAACTCTGTTGTTGCCTTCGACGATCTAACTTCAAGTTCCTCTCTAAACCCACCAGCAACTACAACCTCCTTATCGGGCGCCTGAGCACACAGCTGTTCAGACAGGAAATTTGCGAGATCTGCTTTATTGTCAGCGAGTGACAGAAAGTTTGTCCAATTGTTTGAAAGAGGCACATTACGACCCTCAACAAGTCGTCTTATTGGTCAAGCTGCTTTTGTACGTCTTGACCTGGTAGCCTTGATTGTTTCGTCCCTGTATCTGTCAAAGACAACATCAACCCGTTCATAGCTAGAAGTGGCCTTCAGTACTGTTCTTACATACGTGTCAGCAAAATCTCCAAATGTCACTGCCTTGTCAGGCTTTCCCAGGGCAACTACCAGTGCTTGTCCATCAATTATAAGGCAAGATGATCTTCCATTAAGTTCAATTGCATCAGGACAGACAACGCCTTCAATTAACTTGTCAGCCAATGCCGACTTGTTTCCTGTACGAAGTCTTCGATTCATTTCTGCAAGTGACACAGGGACTGGCAGAAGCTCATGCTTAAGGACAGATGGCAGGTCAACTGGACGACCTGCCTCATAGGCGATAACAAGGCGTTTAAGGATGTTTCTATCCACCATTAGGATAGTTCTCTTGACTTTGTCTTTAGAGTCTTTAACCACTTCATAGAGCGATCAAAACGTTTTGCGTAACTCTTGTGTAATGGTGAATGGATTTGGACATCCGGCTTGCCACCTTGGTCTGATACAATCGTCCTCTCCTCGACAAATGTGTTCACTTCTTCCTGTCCAAGATCTTTGGCACAAAGTAACGAGTTCTGGATAGCCTCTGTTGCCAGATCCGTTGTTGCCAGATTTTGCAATGAGTCAGGACAACCTGATGCAAACACATTAAATCCCTGGAAGACAGAAAGCAACGAATCCTCGTCATCATTATCCCGCTTCTGTCGTGATTTGGTAACTTCCTTATGAACACGTTTACTGCCAGGACCATGGTTGTACATGACATGCGTTTCTGCTGCGATTTGAGACCTCAGGTTGTATAAAAGAGTCTATCTACAAAGTGCCGATATTGTTTTAGTAAAACCAATGATTCCACCTCCTTTCTTTCCAGTACCATTTATCCATTCCATGGCTTGGTCGGGATCTACTTGATTGAACTTTTCAGCTGAACGTTTTACAACGAAATTGCTCCTTTGGAACTCCGATAACACAGGTTCTGGAAGTTTATGCATCTCTGCTATATACACCAGATCCCATCTTGCGTAGTTCAAATGGTCATAACGCATGAAGTATGGTAACATCAGACTAAAGGAGTGGAGATGGAGGTCCCAGATTCCTTCCCGTTGTGCTGGAGTAACCTGCAAGATTATGGTCACCATGTTCATGTAGTCCCACCAGAAGATGAAGTTCACATCATTGGATTTACTCTCAACAAAATTCTCAAGAAGCTTTTGAAACCCTTCAGACTTTAGTGTTGCTATTAATTCTGGAATATTTTTTTATATCTTCATCAGCGACCATTGCAGCTACAGCATCGAAACAACTCTTGTCCAATTCTTCAGCAAATGAAACAAATGCTGGCAAAAGAACCCTCCACAGAGCTTGCACAATAAGCTTGTGAGCTCCCATTGCCTTGTTGTATGCCTTTCCTGACATGACAAGCTGTATGGCACCCTCCCCTAGTATACCACTTTCCAGCCACACTTCAGCTAATCCAGATCCAGCCATGTGATCTCCTATTGCCTTCAGGAAGTTCATTGCGGTATGTAGTCTACCAAGACGAGGACACAGTTTATCCTGGTATTCCTCAACACACCATTTCAGTTGCAGAATAATGCTTGATCTACTGTTAGGACTGTATGCTCCTGATCGAAATGTGCAGATATTGCTATGCAGCTCTTAACAACTGTATTAAGTGTATCTAACTCATTAGCTGGAGCAAGGATTATAGGCAAATACCCTACTGCAGTTTGCTCTGGCTCCGTTGATGTGACAAGACGGTTTTATGTTGGAATCTTGACGTCGCAGAAAAAAAAGCCATGTCCATTGCTTCGGCTTGCTTTACGATTCACTGTCCTCTACAGCTTTCATAAACCAGGTCTTGTCAACAGGGTATGTGAATACCGGCTCACTTGTTGTAGAGTTTATGCTGGTTTGATACAGCTTTTGAAGGACATCTGGTACAACCAATTAATGTCTGGTTGAAGCCAAGTCGCAATTGTCGGCGTTATTATAAGTCTGAATAGACCCCTACAATCTATAGGAAAAGAGAAGTGATACTATCCCTCAGATTACTAAAAAAAATAGAACTGGATAACCTCTGTCTACGTCTCGAGTATTAATCGATTTGAGAAAATCTGGCTAATTCAACTCATCATCAAAACCAATGAGTAACCACTGTAAAGCTAATGGGAAGGCACTGAAGCTAACATGTCAATAATATGTCATAGGTAATCATAGTGCATCAGGTGAGAAACCTGATTCAGTGAATCTCTTTGCAGAAATTGCATCTGGGAATCCCCTTTTCAAACTCGAATTATACAAGGATTGGCCTTCTGAGTTAGTAAATCCTCCTTTACTCAGCCTGGGCACTTATTACTCATTTATTTGCTCTATAGATGTCTTTAAAATATTCCCTGATTCTGAAAACCTAGGTAGAGACACTTCATTTGACGTGTTTGCTTATTTAGTTACAGAGATATAGGAGAAAAACGATTTTCAGTAATGGCGGCAGCTAATTTGCATATTTATGAGTATTGTGTTAAGTTGGTTATATCAAAAATGCTTTCATCATATTCCTTGAACCATGAAAACATAGGTACGGTCTTTTTATATGTCACGATTGCTTGCCTAGTTACCTAGATATGGCAGAAAATTGAAAATTTGGCGGCTACTTTGTTTATGCAAATTAGACCTTCAAAAAACTAAAATTTCGCTTGGGAACCGGGCTTATCGGATTCAGTACACCCGAATTATGCTAAAAAGTCTGGTTCCCGACTTTTACCCCCAGAATGCCCTTAACATGCACATTTCCATGAAATCCCACTAGACTATATGACTGGTGCTACACTTAATGTTTTTATTCGCAATGTGGTTAATAATATAGGATATGTTTTGTTTTAAATTCACTAGCATTTCTGAAATTATGAAATGTCATTCTAAAATAATTATAATGATGTGGCATTTCAGAGAGGATATACGTCATTGTGCTAAGAATTATATAATAATACCTATAGTATCATTCCATGTTGTATTATGCATAGCTTCTATATTTCACAACACTAGGTAATTGATTCAAACTGACAATAGTACATTAATGTTTATGTTTATACAATATTATATATTGTTGCAACATATTGATTTATGATGATTTACGATGAATTGATTGTAAAATCTCAATAAAAACAAAAAAGTATTTACGCTTAATTACATACACTCTTTATTCACATTTGAATTTACTTATAAATTTCCCGAGAGATGGGCAGTACATATCTGGCACATACTCTATCAGTTCACACGTTTTCGTTAACTACAACTCGTAGGCAGTTTATGCGTGATTTATCAACCATATTTAACAAAGCCATAAAGCGAGGACAATACTATTGCCAACACTGTTATAGTTGTGTTGCGTTATGACGACTTTCACCTATTGGTACATGTACACGTCAAATACTCTTAATCTTGCTTTGTGCTGTGCGTGGATGTTTGTTTTTCACGGCCACTTCTTCCCATTTTCGATGAAATGTGGTACTGGCGCCAAAACTATCTCTTAAAGTGTCGCTTTTGAACTATAACGTGAAACTATGAGATACATTCATAAACCTATTTGCCCGATTCTTGAATTTATTTTTTATTTTTGAAATTGAAAATTCCTGTATTTCTATGCACAGATAGGTACACAGTATTCGATGAGGACTGCAACTGCGTTTGTCAAATAACGAATCATTTTACTAAAATTTTACTATATTCGCACCAAAAATATCTTTTTACACCTTGCACAGTATTATCGTCAATCCTCCGTCAAATACATATTTCATAAACACATTTGTCAAATTCCCAAAATGTCAGCCCATTTTCAATTTTGCTATTGGCAATTGGGCCAAATTTGTTTACCGACTGGTGTTCTTTATTTATTTATTGAGTATACTACGTTATGAGTCTAGACTTGGTAATTTATCTTGAAGAACAAAGACGATCATATAAATTATAAATGGTTGCTTATGGCTTTGGAAACTAAACTAAACTAACCTAAACGTACACCTACTAAATAGAATCGGTATACCGAGCACTCACGCACGGTTATCTTGATTAAACGCTTTCTCTTGAAATGCACAATTGACCGGAAGACAGGAAGTGAAATTGAAAAGTCTAATATCAAACACACACTACTCCAAAACCATATATGATTCCTACGCCATATTCAGTAAAAATGTATGTTGACGTGTTATGCTGTATCTACTGCACGCAGCATATTCAGACCACTGAATTGTAACAATAAATTCGCACTCATACACCAACGATTATACGCTATGGACAGAGTGAAGCATACACACACTTTTCTAATTCTTGATAAATGGTGATTAGGTTTTCCATTAATGAATTAATCAAATGCTTCACTTACTCAAGCGTAATAAATTACAATTAAATATCACAGTATGCGACGTTAAATATAAATAACAATTAAAGCTGCAGAGTAACTATGTCGGGTTCAAGTTTAAAGGATGCCAATTGAACTTGATTCAACATGTGGCTCCATAGCCTATATGTCAGTGTTAATATTGATCATTTGAAACTGCTTTCCTAGATCCCCGAAAATGTGAGAAATGCATTTTGTTTTTTTGCGGGTTTTGACATTCAAATCACACCGTACCTCCAGTTTTGATGAAATCCCAATTGTTTATGAAACCATGTGAGGATGCTGGGCAAGCTTGACTTCATCGGGGTTGACTGAACTTCATCAAGTTGAGCGTTTTAAGTACACTCAAAAAATGATTGTTGACAGTCTTGCCGGATAGATGGCAGTTACGTGAATGAAAAATAGCAATTTGATCGATTGAAGGCACCCATGAGATAAAATTGCCGAAAATGTGGTCATGTGAATGATTTAAATTGTTTTATTTTTTCTCATAATAAGCTTTATCACGCCACATACGAATATCAAATTTATTCTTGAATCATTCATGAAAACAAATGCCCTAAGTTCCGGTCACGTACTTTGCTGAAAATCCAAGATGGCGGCTATACCATGTTACACATCTTTTTTTTGTAAGAAGCGTTGCTGTACATGCTGCACACAAAATATCAATTTCGTTGGTTAAAGTACTCATCAGAAACAAATGTCTCAAATATGGCCATTTCTGCCAAAACTCTAAGACCTAATCAGGCTCAAACGGACTGGGACCCTAATAAAATCATATAGCTGATTTGCATAGTAAAAGATGGTATTTAGTAGATTAGTGTTAGAATTATCTTATATGAAGCCTTACCAAAACCTCAATAAAAAACAGTATACACACACATTAATGAAAAACAACTGGCACTCCTAAAAACGGAATACGATTGACAAAAGCCGCAATGTCGCATGTAGAGCGAGGAAGAATTTTAAATATTTATATTCCCATAGCTGCCACTTAAACTACTTGCTTGTTTAAGCTTCAAATCAATATGATATCATTACTATCAAGTAATGTCACGTGGGATGGCTATAATAGCCTATAAATATGTATAATATACCACCACTCGTATAATTAACACTGACCTTGGTGGAATACAGCTTAATTGATCAATGGATTAGACTCTTTATATTGACCTGACCCATATTTTGTATATTGACCTAATTGGGATCACACGACACATAGGGATAAAAAAAATCAAAGGTCACCCATGTTTAACTGTGTGTGTGCTTTAAATAAATAAACAATATGTGCTAATAAGTACATATATCTATGTACTGAAAACGTGGTATATGTCCGATGTTTTGTTAGTGCCATGTGTATGTATAGAATTCAATCATTTATACTTAGAGGGAGATGCACTGAATTTCTGAGGAAGCGAGTCAAGTGAAACTTCTCAAATTTGTTTCACTGTCATAGACTACACTTGTTGTCTAAAGTAATAAATTTACTACCAGTGTCCCCACTTTCATGTTTGAAATCCAAAACTAATTTAAACAAATATGTTTCATACAAACAAACTTAGTAGACAGGACAAAATTGTATATTGCTGATATTTGCTGGCAAAAGAAGATATATAACCAGAAGCAAAATTTACAACGGGGAAACATTTATATTATCCCGTGAAGTGAAGTATTTAATTACACAGTAGTGAGACTGTCCAGAATGATAGAACTGTATTCAATTACATAATCCAGTGGTAATTGAATACACATCTGTACTATTCTTTGTAATGTACCTAAAAGTTTTGACAGGGAATTTCAGAAAATTGAAACTACAGAAATTCAAAGTAGATAAACCAATTTGGTATCGGAAAAATACTAGATATTATATCGGACGCGAATGAAAAAACCTTCCACATTTCATCTATTAGCTTCTATCTGATGTATGTCAATATTTACTATATGAGCAGCCGTTATAATCACGGTGTCCCATTGTTTAAGTCTAAATATTTGTCGGTTTCCGATCTACGCGGCCATTCGGCATCTTCTGAAACCGTGTTATCTTCTGGTCTCCGCGTTAGTGTTTGATCCGGAGTCAAGAAATTCCAACGACACACAGAACGCAATTACGAATCCAGAAATATTGACAACAAAACTAATATTTTGACTCCCGATATTTTATTCGTTTTCGGCAAAAAGCAGCGCTACAGGTGGAATCAGCCAGATGACTTCGCGTAACAGCATGGCGCGATTCCAATCTTTATTGTGGATATTCTATTTATGTGAAAATTCAAATTTGTTCACATTATATTGCAGATTCATATTAATGAAAATATTCTGAATTCGTTAATTTTAGATATATTATTTGGCAATACAAATCATTTGATGTTAATCCCCGCATCCAATATACGTGTATTTACATCCAGAGCAACAACAACAACAACAACAACAACAAAAAGTACGCGTCTTGAATTACGCGCATTGTCCTTTCCGCTTCTTTCACAGCTCCCAGTCGCTACTCTAGGCAATCTTTTTTCCCGTGGTTATTTTCGTCACATTTTTTTGCTCATACAGTTTCGCATGGGATAAACAGATCATTCGTGACTAATATTGTAAATTTCTCGCGCCAGGCAAAATATAAAATGTCGTAATACCAGACGTTATCAACGAAATTTGTCACGAAAACAATGTTTAAATATTTCATGCAGTATATCTTGGTGATACGAATATGTCTAGTAATATATACATGCAAGCGAATCAATTATTTATATTACGATTGCATGGACACGTTTCGCTTTGTGTTCGTGACCTCAATAATGCAAATTGATTGCACTGCATATTAACACGTGTGAAATGTATTACACTGTTAATTGCAGTTCACATTATTCGTATTTATATTGTATGCGATTTGACGTAGACCCGTATGTACGCACTAACTCTGCCGGCATTCATCACGAAATTGACACGACGTCGTGATGAATTTACTTTTGACATTAACGACAATCACAAAATCGATGCACGTGTCTATTCAATTGCAAGATTTATATAACGCAAAATAACCGACGGCATCGAGAAACGTGGTCCGGTTATAACAGCTTCGTTTTAATAAAATGAGTTTAATGTATACTACTTTGCAGGGTATTCAAATAAATTAGCGATGCCGATAATTTTAATGTCTTGACATCCAAATTGCCTGACTGACTTAATGGCGCCAACATATACAGGTGTAATTCCCCACCCAACTCGGCCAATCTATGCATTAATCAAATGGACATATTTGTTATGATTTTGATGAAGTTTCGAATCCTGGGAGAATGGAGTTAGTTATAACAAGAATTACGAATATATTCCTGTAGGTAATACACAGGACGTGCCGGCACAGGCAAGGTGAGTAGATTGTGGTATCAACCATGTATAGTTCGACGAGTTCTCGTTTAAATATCTTGAAAACCATCGTCTTCGTCACGACACAGTTTCATCATATAGTAATCGGCCCATAAACGCGCAATATTATCGCTATCGTAAATGAGCATCATTACATTCACCCTCATTTGTAAGTTAATTTTGTCAATTGAATTAAAATCCGTTGCCATGCGAATACATGAACAGTGATGATGTCTGTGGCGTTATAGAGCTACTAGTCTAAGCCATCGCGAAGTTACGACGGGTGGACTGTTGCTGACAGTGAATGCCATACATTAAAGTGAACTAGATGAACATAAATATAAGAAACATAAATATAAACAAATTCAAAACTATTATTAATACAAAAGAACGTAACTTAATCAAGCATTTGACTAAATACTTAAAACTTTGTTTCATGAAACATGACACATAGACATGTACATATCGTACATAATTTGCCATTTTAAACTGCATTTATCTAAATTTTCTTTAACTTCTATTTTTGTTACTGTTTTTTTATTTTTTTTACATAACAGCCTAGAATGATTTGTTAACTTTCATTATGGTGTAATAAATTAAAATCTTATTATTATTATTATTATTATTATTATTATTATTATTATTATTATTATTATTATTATTATTACATATTTGGCTAATTAATCATCATTGATCAAAAAAACTAATATCTAGAATAAATGGCTTGTCGATGTCTAAATGAATATCTTTGCCGTGGGTTTGTATCTTTCTTAATTTTAGTGCGTTCACATTTATAATTCAAGTTTTGTTGTTAATATATACGATGTTTTCGATGGATAATTTGGTGGCCACATTAAAACCATCCCATAAAATAACATGACCTTCGTTGCCATAGCAATGAATTAATATATTATTTAACGGGTATCGTTACAAAGGCAGAATATTCAAAACGCATAGTCTGTAACATTTGACTTTTCCTGAATACAAGTTACCTCGCCGGAAACATGAATTAAGCTTTATTTTTTTTTTATAAAAACACATTTAATTCTGATATAATAAAACATTTCAAAGACGCTTTATTGCGATATACCAGATATGTTTTAGCATACACGAACCGCTTGTGTATAAATAAATAAATAAATAAATAAATAAATAAATAAATAAATAAATAAATAAATAAATAAATAAATAAATAAATAAATAAATAAATAAATAAATAAATAAATAAATAAATAAATACGATCTGCATAAGTAGATGAGATGCGGGTGTCTAACACAATCCTTGTGAATAAAGAGCAATGACACTACTGTGAAACAAGATGCATATGGCTGACGTAAGTTTTCTCATCAACAGCAGCTGTACATGTTATTGCTATGGGTTAGTAAAGCCCTGAACGCAAGATTAGTTAAGTATTTATGGGAAATGAAAATGCAAGCATTATGGTTGGTGACGTGAAGTCGTCACGGTACATAATATAAATGTTATATTTATCAACCTTTTATACCTCGATGGGACCATTAACAAGAGATTGAAATTATTAACGAAAGTAAATGGCATGTTCGTAATACATTCTTTATCGTGATAACATGTATAATAATTCGTATGAATCATTACAATGGGCAACGATAGGTTACATCATCCACCTTCACGCGTTGATCTAAGTTCTATGTACATGCAACGCAAACACTCGTTCTCATTCTGCATTGAGTAGCACAGCTACATCTCACAAAGAACCCACGTGCGCAGCGTTGTATTAAAACAAATTAAACCCAATGTAATGTCGCTGTTTGTATTAGCCGCGTAGATTATGCGGCGTTGTGTCGTGTACACAATAGGCTTATAGATATATTATAGTTGTGTCAGAGATTAAATCAGAGGAGCACGTTGTTTATTTCACATTAATACGTTTACTGATTCCACTATATATCATCTTTTATAGCGCCACGCCTATGTGACCTGTCAGGTCTCTTCCCGAGCTCTTCCCAGTCTGTTTTACTTTCATATGAGTTTGTTATAATAAAATACATTTCATTTTTACGGATATTATCTCAGTCATCTGTTCCGTAATATTATGGATATTAAGCTCTGAATATGATAATGTACTTATACAATTCCCGTATGTAGTACTCACGCATGCAAATTGAGCACGCTGTTTGGCAGAACAAATTCGCACTATGTTAAGGAGTCTTACTTTTATTGTCATCTATACACAATTGGCCATATAACCCATTTACGTTCGATTGCTTTAAACGCGCACTGCTATTGAAACGTAACTTATTGTGTTGTTATATGTGTTCCAACAGGACTATTTCGTACAATGTGGACTAGAATGGTGGAAACCATGGAGATGTTTAATGTCATTAACTACAATTTTCTCGTGATAATTATACTTTTATCACCGCCCATTCTACACGCAATGGGGTGAGTATAACAATTATTTTTTTTTTAATATTACTATGTATGTGTGTGTCGAGTTATTCTGTAGAGCATACTGAGTTCTAATAACTATAAAATATTACTCACTGTGGATCAACGTGGTATATATGTCGGTTCCCGTGCACCACCGCAATTATGATAAAACCTACTTGTCCCTATTCATTTGTACATTTATATACTCGATGTGGTTGGTGATCTTAGTCGGTGTGAGTTCACAGAATCGGAATCTTTTTCACAAAATTAGTAGGGCGACCTATTGTAATGGCTCGCATCCCTCTATAGGCAGATGACGTAAAATCGAAATATTGTCGCATTTCATGAAATGGAGTGTTTATTTTTTTTAATATTTTTCTAGTTATGAACTTGGCACGTTTATAATAAAAAATAAATGGCTAAGAGTTTCTGATTAACACACGTTAATAACAGAGACGTGTCGTTACATGATTTATGAAACGGGTTGACAGTAGAAACAGTAACCGACATGCCTTCGAGTTGCTGGCTTGTATGTGCGTATTGGGAAAGCAAATAAAATACATTAGTTCATACGTCAATTGTTAAAATTAGGTCAAGTAATAACGCTGTAGAGTAAACATTGCCAACTGAATTAAAACTGTACTTAGTGTGACTTGGATTAATACAGATAAAATGTGGTGTATTACGTTTCACTTTAACTGCAACATAAAATCCAATCATAAAAGCAAATTGTAAGCCATAGGTTAACTAGAAGCACTCCGGTCTAAAGGCTGCATCCAAAACTGCGACAATTGTCCTTTCTATACACAAGGCATCGTTGACAATGCATGTCTGCGTTCGTTGACACATATCTTAAGATCAGTGGACATTTTCCGGTTAAGGAGAAATACTGAGGCAGGAAATTGCAGCGCCGATTACTGATTTATTACCCGCCAACCTTTAAGTATTGTTCGTATCAATTGTCTTCTGTTTGAAATTAACACTCTGTGTTGCAGTTATAATATGAGTATTGGATGCTACGAAATATATTTATTTACGAGAATAGTGTTAAATATGATGTAATCTCGTGCACAGTGAAGCTACACAAGCTCAATATATAAATCTAGTTAGTTTGGTTTCCGGCATGATGGTTTTGTTCATTCCGGATGCCGTGTCTCACCACAGAACATCGATGATTTATTACAGTACGATTCTTTCCTTGACCTTAGCAAATGTGTATTATTAATAATTGTATACATTACATTATATTAACAATTCCCTGTTGATTCATGTACACGTGCTATTGTTCAAACCAGTTTATAGCAACAGCAAAATTAATTGTAATCTGTCACCTGTGTGGGACAGTGAATGGTGTTACTTGCCTGTGTGTGTGTTTTGTCGCTAATATCAATACGTGGCAAATTAATAAATATAAATAAAATCTCCAGTCTATGAAGCACGACATTATTTTTAATGTACATTGATAATGTGAGAGAGATACTTAGGAGTTATTTTGATATAACAGCATGTTTGGTTGAATGTCAAATACGGCCCGTGTCGCAATAGTACGCTGTATCCGTTCCATGATATATTATGCAATGCACCATTCACGTTTCTAATATTAGACTTAAATGTATGTAATATACATTAGTGAAATAATACAACCAACCGTGTCATCTGTCGGTTAGTGTGAAACAGACGGTGCCCATTGAAAAAATAGTCAATAACAATGCTAGTGTGTAAATACAATAATTGTGACAAATAGACATTTTCACATTATATATATATATATGGACTCCTATAAATATTATAATAGCAGAATCATGTGTCACTCCTAGCATATGGTCTGATATATCATCCCTTAAAAATTGTTTAGAATCTTCTATTTATGTGATAGATTTGGCGGAGTTTATGAATAAGGGATTACGTATCTTTAAAGAGGTTGAGAAAAAAAAATGAGTTTATGCATGACGTTTAAGCTTCGACAGATGGACAATCACAGTGTTATATTGTAATTTTATTGTATTTCAACTCAATAACACTCGGCGTGTAGATTGATATCACCAAGGTAACGTGTAATCCCTATTTCATCTTCTGTGTCAGTTGTTATATTTTTTTTAATCTCCGTCGTATTGCCCGTTAGACATAATTACACAATCATCTTTATATCATGTCTAAGCGTATTACAGATTCATTCAACCTTTGAACGGATCAATATATCATCAACCACGGTTTTCATTTTAATGTATATATTAATATGGCAAAAGATACTAATAAGAGTTTATGTTTACTGCTTGCATTTGTGTACTGTCAAAAGAGAATGCAATTGTTCAAATCGAACGAGCTGCGCCTACGATCAATTGTTTATATTGAAAGATATCTAATGCATAAGAATACTTGTTGTATGTAAACAGTGGTGACATTCACATCAAGCAATGTACAGTGCACACTAGTCGATATTACTTCACTGTATTACTCATTTCAGAATCGCGACTACCGCGAGGTCCGACTACCAGTATGAGAAGACTGCCAACTTAACATTGATGCTTGACGATATGCTGAAGGGCTATGATATGAGGATACGACCAGGCGCAAATGGTATGTTGTGATTGTTTATATTACATATATCATATGATATGTGCAAAAAATTCAGTGATTTATGTCATCAGTGATTTATTACCTGAGCACGTTTCAGATGAAACCTTCGATATATGGTTATTTAAGATATGGTAATAATGTCTATATCAGAATTCTACTTAACATGGCAGTCTTGAAATGTGGCAAAATCTACATTAGACGAAGATATTTTTATTTTCAGGCTATCATTTAAAAAGTAGATATATGCCATACGTTGTTATTATTATTTTTATTATTGTGAATACAATATTGAGTAATCAAAATTCCTTTCACTAAGGTCCCCCCGTTAATGTGGACTATGATATGTACATCGTGAGTGGGTTTGATACAATCACTACAACTATGGTAAGTTTCGGTGATACTTTAGCGTTGAATTATTTCACTCTTGGCATCATGTTGTTTGTATACAAGTACGCCCGGTGTTCAATCGAACAACACCATGCGTATGCTAGTAATGATTCTCATGACGCAACACTAGTGATCAATATGCAAAACGATATCGAGTATTAATATATAGAAGATAATATTTGGTAATCGTAGTCCTATGTGACTATTAAACATAGCTAGACGTGTCGAGCAATGGCTTTTTTATCGATAGCATAGAAAAAAATGTATTAATAGCTCACAAGTCCATACCTCTATTCATTCACAATACTATTGTTTTTTCATTCATCGTCTAAAATTAAATCGGAATGGTTAATATGTAATCAACTGCAAGTATAGTCTGTATTAATATTCTAAGTCGTTGCAGTCCTCCGTGTTGTCAGTGTGCATTATTGAACCAAGTAAGATCGTAAAATTTATATTAGTGAAATTGACTATTGTAATCCATCATAGAATATAATTCACGTAACTTAGTTGTCATTTACACATCCTGTATCATTTGTATTCAACATAGATAGTGGTGGACATGCCATGAAAATAAAAACAAATGTTTTTTTTAAATATATTATCTCACAAACGTAGTTCAGGCGAATCAGTTAACTGCATATCGTTGAAACTGTATTGTACACGGTAGTTGGCATAACAACATATCAGTCATCAACAATACACAATGCAATAATAATAACGACTGACACGTCACTAATTGATGTTTTCCCAATATATATGTCTCCTAACACAATGATAAATAAATAGCATGTTAAATAGGAAAGTGGTATTTGAACACGTGACTAGGGAGTTCTACATAGATACCACCTAGCCCTGGTCTGACTCGTATGTCCTGACGGAGTCTAACGCAATATATCTTTCCAATGTTTAGTAATTAATAGATTAAATGATATACACAAACAAGAACGCGTATTACGGAAATATTTTAAACAAACCTCACGTCCCATTTCATCATAGGTCACATACTTGAAATATTCGTTTGAGCTCGAAAAAAAACGTGCACGTTAGTTTGTTTTGTCTGAGTAATGTTAGCAGTATAATTGTCCTTTAAACATTTATGATGTATCTACTAAACTATTCCATTAACAATACTCACAAAAATGCCTTGGGAAATACAATCAATTTCTACAAACTCGTTTGTCAGTCAGTGTTGATTTACCAATTAATGTCATGAGTCGTTGTCAACCCTGAAACCAAATTACCTGTCACGGCACAGTTCGGTTTGCAGTCTGTCTGATTTCTGGTATCTGAAATGTGATACAATATAGTACAAGATATAACTATATTTTGATTATTATTTTTCAGTAATCACAGATCAAAAGATGTTTCCGATTAACTGTATATTATATAATTCGATTTACTAGATTTATGTAGAATATCCAGTCATCATAAGTGAACATTTCAAACCCATAACCCTTCGACTCGGTCAACATTGATGTGTTTTTGTCGTTTAAAGTTAATCAATACCAAAGTGTCTTACTAATCGGTATTCATGACTACAACCTGTACTGCTTTGACCTTCGATTCAATTAATAATATGTATGTGTTGTATCACAGCACAATACATAGTGATTAAACAGAAGCAAAATTGTAGTGAATTCTGAGAACAGAGTACAACAAAACAGTAAATGCGATATTGAACGACCAGTTGTCAAATTTGTCAACAACTATACTGCGTTAAATAAAATTAAATATTAGCTAGTTTATTACCAGTACCAGACATACATTAACGTGAATTCATTCATTATTATACTTATAATTATCATTATTATCTATTAACGTTTTACGTTTATCAATGCGCGTTGTTTGTATTGTAACTGAATGTTAGTGATCTCACACACAATTTCTAAAGATGTTATAAGTATATTTCGCTTTAATTAACCATCGACTGAAAAGATAAAACGGTGGATTTTGGTTTGAATAATCTATATCCGTCAGTCAATTGCACACAATAGACGTAATGTAAATGTTTCAGTCATTTTATTACAAAATGTGTCGGGTTTTTTTACAGAATGTGTCAGTTATTACAATTTGAACCTGGTGGCTGATGCACATAAAATATATATAAAACTATTTCTACGTTCATCGAGTTTCATGTTAACATTACAACACTGTCAATAACTTAAGCATGATTTTTTTCAAAATTGAATTTAAATTGATTTATTATACAGTGCAAAATTCGTTGTCTGTATATAATGCATTTATTATTATTATGAAAGTGAAAGTAAAACAAAAAACACAAAAATAATATACAATTGTATATTATTAGGTTACCCATGTACCATCTGTTATTCTTCGCTCGGTAAATCTTTCAACTAAATATTAATATCATAACATATTATAAATGGAATTTGAATTGGGATTTGGGGGAATTGAACAAAATCATTTGATCTTTTCCAATTACTTTATTGCTAGTAGTTTAAGTAGTGATTTAGAATTAAGCACTACAATCTATTCCATAAAGTGATTGTTTTGTTGAAATAAAAAAATTAAATTAAATATGAGGTTCTAATACAATACTATTCCTTTTTTCTTGGAATTCGATAAATATCATTTTATAAAAATATTGAAATGCGGTTATATGAGTGGGAATCTAAATTTGACTACATTATTGTTAAAATAATGTTCACTTATGTTATTTTGTCGAAATTTGTCACGAAATTGTTTGAAGTACAATTGAACGCAGAAAATCACGTTGCTCTTTATAGCCAAATCAAATATGCAAATAGTAAGTTTTATATTGGAAATTATGTTGTACCAATGTTCAATAGCTAGAATATTTTAATTTATGCATACAATTGTTAAATACGGCATGATCAATTGAACCCAGAATATGAATAGCAAATACTAGAATTGATTTTGAATTACGTTTTGTGTTTGAAAAAAGGTAAATAAAATTACAGATATTAAGTAAATCCAAAAAGGTGAACGAAAGTACAATCGATTCTCATCAGCACTTATTCGCTCAAGTGAGCATCATAGCCTTATAGCAAAATCGTCGGACCCGTACGAGGTATTGCGCATCCACAAAGAAGTAACATTTAGAAACAAATAGTATTACGACTTGATATGCTATTTCTATGGTCTATTTTATGTTACTCAGAATGTGTCCAGAACGATTCGTTGCAGTATGATATTGTTTTGTTTTTATTATTATTTGATGCGTCTGTATAAAGTCTGTGGAACTTAGTTTTAGTTTCCCCCTTTCTGATTGTACTTTTGTTTTGTTTTTGTTGATTTTACTTTTGTTTATAGCAGGATTATAACATTATGGCGTTCATTCGGCAATACTGGAACGATCCTCGTCTTGTATTTAACGGTACAAGTAGGTATAGCCTTAACGTCAACCAGAGGGTTCTTCAAAACCTATGGGTACCCGATATGTATATAATTAATGAGAAAAGTGGTGAACTTCATGATATAACAGTGGAAAATAAAGCACTTCGAATATACCCAAATGGAGATGTGTTATACAGCTTAAGGTAAGATGATACTATAATGATTTATATATATGGACAGTGTTTGAAATTTGTTAATAATAGTTTACCCCAGACAACATGACAACAGGTATAAATGCTAAAAAAATTACCAGCCCTGTTTATGTTTTCATTATATTTTATTCAATCAGTGTCACTGCAGTGACTTTCATTCAAGTAATGGTTGTGAAAGTTCACAGAAATCACGCGAGAGTTCGCTAAATCACGCATAGTTCATGCATTGTTGTTGTTTATACTTGTCTTGCATGTTGCATGTGTCAAAAAGATCACAACAGATCTCTAGGTACATAATTTTGACAACAATAATATATCAGTAGCCATTTTATGATTTTTGTAAAAAGTAATATTTTATTTATTTTCTCAAACAATCTACCCGACCACAAGGCTAGAAACTTAAAATTGTCATCAGCCTGACTGAATAGTCACCCGTGTAATTTCAAACACTGATATTATGTATGTTTCTGTTCAAATCAATACACGCAAATATACACAGAATAGTTAATAGAATTTTTAATAATATTGTTGATGTCAACTGTCATTTAAATAGTTTTTCAAAAGAAAATGTATATATAAATTCTATTTCAAAGTTTCAGACGATCTGTTGTATGTTGGTTACACGTTGACCTATCAGAATTCCGAATGAATAATATGAGCCTACTATTGTATTCACTCAACTAAAGATTTCACTAATGGATATTTCGATGTGAAAATCGTGTACTATCACCGAAATTTGTGTTCTGTAAATCTTGCACGTATATCCGTATCGGGATATTTGCGTGACTGAACACTGTATTACTAGCGCATGCGATAACACCATAAGGAACTCCCATAGGTCATGGTTATAAACTGAATTTTGTTGGAGAAATGTACTTTCCGGTTCTTGAAGCTATTAATAATAATACAATGTTAATTGTACGTTATATATGTTATATATGTTGTAGATATAAATCATGTCACATGCCACAGAGTGAAAGTCAAGAATCTTTATATTATTCAGCACGTTATATTGTAAAATTGAGTATTATCATGTTCACTTATTGCGGTTTTATTGTAAGAATATGGTTCACCAGATGAGAAAGGTGCGACTGTCTGTACTTTGTTCGTAGATTACAAATTGAGGTACCTTATTAACCGTGCGTGTGTTTGACTTCTAATTAACAGCCTTGGGCTTAAACATCTAAAAACTCAATGCCTGATGTACAGTGGCGTTCAACCAGTTCCATTAGGGGAATATTTACTGTTTAATTCAAAAGACCTAATATCGCGCAAGATCTACCAAGACTCACTCCCGGAATATCAAAGACAGTAAATATTTGCATATTAGTTTTTTTTTCAATTTGGTATGTTCCTAACATTAAGTGCATTCCGTTTCAGGGATTTTTTGTGGCAATCATTTGGTTGTTATATATTGAATAATTGCTAATTGCAGGATTATAATGCGTACGTAATTCTACAGTCGTAAAACCGTATTCAACAGTGAAACAATCAAATCCAACATTGTCACAGTGATTTCCTGTAGTTTACATAATCTAAGTTAGATGGTAACACTGAAACTTACATTAAAACGTGTCCCTAACTATTGAAATGTTTTCAGTGTAATTGTATTACATTGTACAAAATATCAATTTATCTAACAGTTCCAGTAGTAATGCTGATAAATGCACAAAATAAAAAAATGACAATAAAACCTTATTGATAGCTAATATTTAATTGACTTGTTGGATTGTATATCTGTAATACGTATTTATTTGAGAAAGTAGGGTAAAGTTGAGGTAAAGGCCGATATATCATCTATTCTTCTATGTAAGTGCATTCCCTGTTGTGAATGTAAAACTAAATGCGATGCTTTCATGTAGCATTCATCACCATGCATTATACATGATCCACGCTCCATTAACTCGCGTTAATCACACTTTATAATGATTTCAATTTCAGGCTAAGCTTAACCCTGGCCTGCAATATGAATCTGAGGAAATATCCCATGGACAGTCAAGTTTGTCATATGGAAATGGAAAGCTGTAAGTAATGCATTTTGATGCAGTCGATGACCAGCATTTGTATACATTATACCAGTCGTGATATATAATTAGTTACCGAATAGAAAAAAACATCATATGTACTCCATATTCCAATCGATCGTGATTCGAAGAATTACCATAAGCGATACAAGATCGTATAACAGATAAAACATCTAGCACATTAGGAAAAACATCATTGTAGAGTGTCGAACTCGCATTAATTTTTATCCTGTACTTTTAAATTGACTAAAGGTTAAAGGAATGTGTGTGTGGCCGCATGTGTTTAAGCTTGAAATTGAACTTCAAAGAAATTCATTATTTAGATTCATTATTTATTATCACATTGGATCGCGGTTTGGTGCCATCTGCGTTAACAGAGTAAAGGTCGTACTTACCATGATTTGAGTGTTTTGAAAATACCAAATATTCATAAGTGAAAAAGGAAAAAAATAAAGAGGTAATTCATAATCAGATTATACCTAATAATGTTATGTACGAGTTTATGTACATGTAATGAAACAACCCTTGATATATTTCATTAGACAAATACAATGAGTTGTTCTTCATATTGATTGATTGTACACGAGTTGAATAACATATGAACGTGGTTCATTTATCAGTGCTATGTTATGCCATCTAAAAAATTCCGGAGATATTTTCCATTGCACAATTATACCACATGTACATGTACATGTACATGTACATGAGGTACACGGCTGTGTGTATATTTTATCAGATGGTCAATTCAACTTTGATATTCCAAGCTATGTAAACTACTGGGTTCTCATTACGGACAGCTGAGGCAATACACAGTCACCGTCGGACTTGATGGGTGATCGTTTCATTCACCATGATATGTCTCCAGACAGTTTATTACTTGTTTTATGTACACACAGTAAATTGCCTTTGATATCGGTGTACGAAGCATACGTAATCTAAATAGTATTAGCACTATAAAGCCCACGTTCTAAAGTGTACCAATTTGAGTAGAGTATCGAGCTTTGAAAACGATCTAAATTCTTGTAAGCTTCTATTTCATAAAGTGCAACCATTTTCAGTAGAGATTCCTTTTGTACACAATCGGTGAAGTTCATAGAAACATCTCAATCTGAACTTCAAATGATAAAAAAATATGAAACTGCAATTCGGCTATGGGCAGTGGAAAAAAATCTAATAATCATTTAATAACGAGCCAGACATGCAAAACCCTGGACAAAAATGATTCCTCGTCACATATGAATTCGGAATATCAATTGTAATAACTACATCGTATTATTTTTAGTAAAAGTAAATTCAGTCATTTGTCATTACGCACCTGATGTCTGCTTTTTATATTGCTTGAAAATCTACTCAGACGTCATTTACGTAATAAATGTAATGTGGTCACCCAGAAGAAATTCGTTCTCGTTCCATAATTAATTCGAAAAATGAAATTACTTAGTATGATGGACTGCACGATTCGCTGATCTGCAGATAAATATTTGTCTTTCTTTGTAAAATATCTTTAGTAAGGGGGTCAGGGTAAAACAATTCGTACTATTGCAGAAAACATTACGTGTAACGTGAATGAAAAACAGAAAGAGACAAATAGAAGAACATATGTTTATTTTCATGGTGAAAATGTGTGGCGGGGTAACACGATAAACAAATGCAATATTGTAATGCAGTGTCTTAACATACTGAGAATCTAATTATGGAATATAATCCCGAGGTGGCCAGTGAAATATAAAATTTGAAGGAAACAATCAAAATAGAAAATAATCGTTGATTATTCTGAATGGCACGGTATGGTGATTAGGAACGTATTTTTTACTAAAATGTAACAGTCGTACCCAACTCTGAACGCGTGTCGCCCCCGCCGTTCATATAATGGCAGTAGGTAAATGAGACTGACTTATATGTAAACTGTAAACTCTTATCGGTTAAACCAGGACACAGGAATAACATATATTTTCTTAATTCTCCATGCTACCCTTTCACTTTATTAACTTTCTCAATTTAGTCACTAATTCTATACATAACACATACTTGTTCGTTTCCTATCATAACCTTAATTTATTATTCATGTTCATTGGGAAAAGGGACAATCATTTTCCCTGGCGACATGTGATTTCCAATATATGGGCAGTGTTATGGTATTAATACAAATTGATCTTATCATCCCCAAATCATGCATATTCATAAATATATGTTACAGATGGTTATAGGACGCATGATGTGGTGCTTCGATGGAAGAATGAAACGCCATTGTTGAAAAATGAAGAAATAGAAATACCTGAATTTGTTCTCCATGACATAAAGACAGTACAGTGTGTCAATGTGTATTCTACAGGTACGTGTTGTTGTGTGTCGGAGAGTGGCCGTAAATACATTGATGTTGCAATTATAATAAAAGGTTACTACGAGGATACCTCAAAGTATGCACGAGGACAGTGCAGTGGAAGTATCGACTCTGTTCTATGTGAGTGCATACTTTGAGGTATCCTCGTAATAATCTTATTATTATACATGTTTTCTTTCCAAGGATACATCATGGGAATGCCGAAATTCAAAATGTTTAGAGCAGAATCAGCAAACTTCTTTGTGTGGAGTCTGGTCAAATTCTGATGGTAGCCATGTTTGTTTTTATTATTAGAGGATGTTTACGCGCATAATCATTCCATAATTGGAATTCGCATTTCCTAATATGGTAGGATGAAAATAGCCCGTAAAATACCGCACAATTACGGCACGCTGTAACTTGTGGCGTTACGGTGACAGATGTATAATAATAGCATATACGTATTCTATCTAAACTTTGTTTCTCTGACAATGCTAACAGCATCACATGAATAAATTACACTTCTTCACTTAGATTAACAAATACAGTGATAATCTTTAAGATTGGCATTGGATTATAGAGTTAATTCTATTACCTTTTCCCTTTGTTCGTGATAATTGTAACGGCGTGCAAAGTGAATAGCATAAGCAATGTCGAGTATGTTTGCGCAGTGTTAAAAATATGTGAGAATTATCACATATTCTTTACAGCGAACTGTACAGGAGCAACATCAACTACTTTCAACCTCGGCGAAGCAGCCTCACGGTTAACCTGATTGAAATTATCTTGAAAGAAAGAATTTGCAGTTTATCAGACTGAGTGATGGTGAAATTGATTACTACAACCCCCTTGAAACTTACGACATTATCGTTTTACGTGACAGACAATCAATAACACTGCCACCGAATGAGAATTTTATCTGAAAAAATAGCGGGATGAAATTAATTCTGTTTAAAAGTGAACGAGTTGAAAGTCAAATAAAGTCCTCGCGTGTAAGGAGGAGTATGTAGGACAAGTTTCGGATCGCCGCGTTCGTGCTTATTAAACTAAATCAATAATTTAACATAGGGCTTTAACAATAAAAGTGTAATTAGCGACTCTTGATGACAAGCTAAATATGGAACTTAATAGATGTGCGCTTTTAAACAACCAAGCAATTTACAATTTACATTGAATTCACTTTGCGTGTAATGTTGATTGAGTTTATATTCAAAGTAATCTTGCTGCTCGCTTGGTTCAAAATCTTAGTTGTTTATTTATTTATTTATTTATTTATTTATTTATTTATTTATTTATACACAAGCGATTCGTGTATGCTAACAATCATATCGTAATACAGCTTCATTAAAATGTGTGCTTATATGTGAATATATTCGTGTTTTATAAAAAAAAGTTTAAGCTTAATGCATGGTTATGGCTAGGTTACTTACATTCTGGAAAATTCAAATGTAACAGACTATCCGTCTTGAATATTCCACTTTTGTAAAGATACCCGCTAAATAATATATTAATTCATTGCTATGGCAACGAAGGTCATGTTATTTTATGGGATGGTTTTAAAGTGGCCACCAAATTATCCATCGAAAACATCGTATAATATATTAACAAAAAAAATGAATTATAAATGTGAACTTGTTATATATCAGAATCATGTTAAGAACCATATTTAGACATCGACAAGCAAATTATTCTAGATATTAGTTTTTATTGATCAATGATGATTAATTAGCCAAATATTTATGTTTCTTATATTTATGTTCATCTAGTCCATTTTACCCTATGGTTTTCATTAACAGCAACAGTCCACCCGCCGAACAAATATAGTACATATTATAGCATTTATATAATAGTACAACCAAGGAATTCGGAGACGCGCATTCATAAACAGCACGTCGGTGAAGGGCTCTTGTATAGGAAAATGCCATGCTATTCGTTCTTGCTGTTGAATTACATGTTGCTCAAAAATGTATAATTCGGCTAAATAAAAAAAAAAGGTTTCACAGATAATGACGAAAATTTGAATAATTGCAGTAGATTGGTCAAATTAAAAACAAATGACTTGGTGAAAATCATTATGGTACATGTAACGAGCTCTGAGTGTTTTTTTTTTTTTTTTTTTTTCGTTTTCATGAATAATTGAAAAGTTTCCACTCTAGCGTAACACACTTCTTCCACGACAACACTACGTCAATATCCCGCCTCGCAGCTTAGTATTCTGCCTGGTGTTTTTGACAAGTACACATTATTGATACGACATAAACAAATAATGACTAAAGAAGTACTATGATATCACGTTTCAAGAAACCAAATAAAACACGATCGTATTCACGTGGTCGTTAAACAAAAATAATATTGAGTGATTTTTTTCTCAGGTGAATTTTCTTGTCTACGAGTCTACTTCTTCCTCCGTCGAATCTTCGATTTTCATCTTATTCAGACGTACGTGCCTAGCATCCTCTTAGTTGTGGTGTCTTGGGTCTCGTTCTGGATCAACCCCGAAGCGTCGCCGGCTCGTGTGGGACTGGGAATAACCACCGTACTCACGATGACAGCGCAAAGCACGGGCGTTAGGGAGACTTTACCACCGGTGGCCTACATTAAGGTAAATAAAAAGAATATGGTATGATTTAACAGAGCAGTATTTTTTTCAATTCAGTGCGCCGGTGCGCATGCGCTTGTACATTTGGGTAAATACGGCGCATGTACACGAGCTTCGAACGAATGTTGCTATCTTTGCGGCTAAAATAATATTTTCATTTTACCTGATTGAAATTATTGTTTCTATCATGATAAAATATCATACAAATTAATTTATTTATAATTTGTTATATAATTATTGTGTATTTATAATTACTGTCAATTGCGATATATTTAATACAACACTTCTTAATTTACTACTGTATTGTGTACTGCACAGTCGATCTTTTACTAAATAAGGAATTACAATAACAAGTACTCAGAAGCATGATTAGGATGGCCAATTATTTTGCTGTCATGCTAGCCGTAAATGAAAGACTGGGACAAATGTATGTTATACGGACCTTTCGTCGTCGGACCCCTCGGAGCTGATCGTATTGTTTACATAAACCTGGCGTGAAGTGGAAACCAAATGAAATTACATCAATTCAATTCAATTCAGGAAAAACGCACAAACCACACGATTGGCGGGAAAATGAGTCTACAATACACAGAAAAACTGTATTTCACATAACAAAGCAGGTGTATCTTTTCTCTGTAGGCTATAGATGTCTGGATGACAACCTGTTTAGCGTTTGTCTTTGCTGCTCTTGTGGAATTCGCTCTTGTAAACTACGTACTGACGGAAAAACGACAGAAAGAAGCCAAGTCACTCAAGAAAAAGGTGGGCATTGCGGTGTTAAATTTTATGCCGGTGTTAGGATAATTATCAGTTTTGCGTATACAATTATTGATATTATCAATATTCAAAATCAACTCTGGCGAACGATAATTCTGTCATGATTGCTAAAATTGTATTGTCCGCAGTTGTCGTAAATGTCATTTCTCGAGATGTGTTAGTGCCGTGTGTTCTGTTTTACGAGTTGTTGCGTGAAAGGAATGAATTAGAATAAGTCTCCAGATAGTTTACGCTAAGATTGCATTTCATTGCGTAAGCAGCTCACGGGGTAGCCCCATTTGCAGGCACGCAATACATACACACGACTGTGATATAAATAACGACAAAGTTATATAATAACCCGCATTGATGGAATACATTTTTTATAATGTATACATGACCTCCAGACACTCGAGAATTTCATTGCAATCTACGTTGTTAAAAAAAATCGTGTGGTAAGTTTATTCTGTCTATTATATTAAACATCGCCACCTCATGGCGACATGCAGGCGAAGCTGCCACATTGTCAGCAGCAATGGGTATACGTATTGCACGCATAATGACAGCGGCCAAGAACATGCGCAGGTAGTATACTAATTGTTGAACCTTCTGCGGCTCCCTTAGTCTGGTGAAAATAATGTAATGCTCCAAAATACTTAATGAAGTTTGCTAATTATCATAAAAGAGATTTGATACTGTGTGCACACTAGAGGGCGTCCATCCTTCAATGTAGCTATGGATTATTGACTATCACCTTATTAAATTATACGGTGTACGCAGAAAAATAGAAATATTGAGGCTATTATGCACCCATAACATTATGTGCTTACATCGCCTGTGCCGATGGTGTACGACTCGTGCATATATAACAAATTTGTCATGGCAAGGTTCCTGAATTTTTACATTCTAATCTTATTCCATTATCAATCTCAAACATTCTAGGCATCTCAAAGAAGCAGGAATGGTGGCATTGAAATACCGGTAAATTTAGTGTCAAGTCCATTTACACAGCAAGCAGCCGGAAGAGAAGAGGAGCCACCGGACTCGCCTACCCCGTACATGACGGTACCTTCAAAATTAACACCGCGGCTGATAGATCGAATTGCTCGGTTTGTGTTCCCGTTCTCATTCATTGTCTTCAATGCTGTATATTGGCCAATGTGTTTCTATGGTTACGGCGAGGAGAAACTGCCCCCGCAGGCACTTCATACTGATATTTGCAGTAAAACACAGTAGTCTTTGATGGCTCAAGGGGGCTGTGTTGCGCTGTTTTTCAGTGTCAAGCCAGGATGCGAAAAGTGTCATCAGTGTATATCCTGTGTCTTTGTTGTATATGCAAAGAAAATCACATTGCCGTGCTGTTTTTTTTTGGTTCATTTACATAAGGTGGTTTCCGGGAAAAAATCTTTGCACGGCCAGTAGAGCGATATGTTGTTGCTTGAGTGATCCAGGGTCCCAAGGTTTCAAAGTGAATCTGCCCTGGACAGATTCGCATTATTGAAAATATTTCTCGTTGAGTTTACGAGGCGTTGCTTCTTTCCAGTTCTGCTATATATAACACCTGTCGAATCGTATTGTATATGCGGCTATTTACATCCCATGCCATTATGTTAATCTCACATTTCCAGCAGTAACTGCATTTAAGAGGGGGATGTGGTGAGATGTGGCATATAACGCACAATTGAAAAATGTAACACTTTAATCAAGTCGTGCATACGTGTCTCACAACAATTCTCTATAATACATTTATAAAATCATTTTTAAATGTGCAAAATAATATAACTTATTACTTGAGTGAAGATATATTTGCAAAAAACAGCTATTTATTAATATGTATAAGTAATGCCATTTTGATGGAAATAAAGATTTTTTATTCATTTCATCTTACTGTTTCAGGTAATTTCAAAAATATTCACATATGCAACGGTTTTTATATAAATAATCTACTGGCAAAACTAATATAGGAGTTATCCGGATGACTGGATCACGTGATTCGTTCTCAAAATGTATCTAGATATATTGTGTCTAAATGGCTCCACGTATTTGTGACAGTTGAATGAGGAAGCACATTAGCGTCATCGAAAAAAAAAATCATCTACACGACTAAACATAAATCAAATCGTGAGCGATTTTACTGGAATGAAGCCAGGCCAGAAAACTTCTCGACACGCCACCAAGGTTTAAATGTAGTCACAATACCAGGCACCGTGCGATTCTTATGGGGATCAAGATTTCGAGGTCATTGTCTTTCTAAATTAATGAGCCTGACGGGATTTTGCGTCAGATATAATTGTATGGTTACGTAATCAATAAAACTGAGAGGTCATACCACTCTCCTGCTTTTCTATTAGCACCATGACGTTTTAGTATATCTGTTGCACGTGGTAACGGTAACTCGATCTAGTTTTACTGTATGTATTTGAGAATCAAAAATACTGACTTTATGGTACATTATATACTGAAAAACATGTCTTTTTTGCGGGCATGTCTTTTTGGCGAATTTAGCGAGAGAACTGATTCGCTAATTCAAATGACGAAAACAACAAACGCTAAAAACGCAAAGGCTCATGGGTAGAGGCTAGTTTGTAAACAATGACACATTATGGCAATCTGACGCATGCTCGGGTGACGACTCCCCCGCTTTAAATCACTGAGTAATTGTTAATACGATGAATTTTATTGTTTTGTAATTATAGTTTACTTTTTCAAGATTCTTAATGTCATCGCTAGAAAAATGCTTTTAGCATCCAACTTATGAAAGGTAAACCCAAGTTGAAATTGTATCCGATCTGAAGATAAATCCTAAAAAGGTAGCTCCTACTCTGGATGAGTGTACCACAGACTCAATATATAGGAAGGCTAAATCCACTGGCCGAGATTTATTCACTGACTAATGCGGACTTGGGAAAACCTTGGTGAAGATCCGCAGGTGCTTGTAATCGAGGGATTGACGCCAGGATAGTGCATTAAATTACTATAATGCTACTATGATTAGATGATCACACAGTCCTGTCACGTAGTTTTAGGAAGATGGTCACACAGTCCTGTCACGTAGTTATAGGAAGATGGTCACACAGTCCTGTCTCGTAGTTTTAGGAAGATGGTCACACAGTCCTGTCACGTAGTTCTAAATCAGAATAAATATATATATGTAGAAAAATGTACTATATATGTCAGCACTGGCAATTGAAAATTTCACTTATAAAGGTTAACAATTTTAAAACGTTTTACCTATATTCGAACTATATTTGATGCTGGTGTCAACGTATAGGGTAGGGTATATAGACTATTTTAATACATAATGTCACACCCACTATGAAGTTCCGATGTCGAGACATTTTACCTTGTAGAGGGAAACATAGTCCAGAATATCCCGCGTAATAGGTATTAAATCAGACAACCAAATCATATTTATAGACAGACATTTTGTGAGAGTTTAGTACTTTTGAATGCGGTGATTCTCGTTGAGTCCTTCCAACAGTTCACTCTGCCCCATTTCACGGAGTACTAGTTTGCTATAAAACACTAGGACAAGTATTACGCCATCCTTTAAAGCATTGTACGTATTTACTATGTATTCACGTATGAGAAGAGTTTCTGAGCTCGTACAAAATCAACGCCACATTGGTTCAGGTCATGATATACACGAATTTAAATCACGATCATGACGTCACATCATTGTGTTTTGCGGTCATGAATTACCGGACGCACTACTTGGCTAAATTAGTAGGCGAGTAGTGAGCGGTCACTTATCAACAATGTCGCAGTTTTTATTTTTTGTGTATCGCTCCATCGTTCGCCTATGCAAAAAAGCGGCATAACATACTGATGTGGCAATGTTCACGTCACACTTTATGTAAATTTAAACAATAGATTTCTAGAAATGTTTCATTTCTGTCCAATTTTAAAAGTAAACACCAATAAGCTTGAATAAACTTAATTATATGAAAACTTGAAGTCTAAAGTATAGTTCTGTGCCGTATTACAATAGTTCAATTATGAAAACTTAAAACATTCTCTCACTCGAAATGTGTGACCCTAGAATCGCCCGAGCATTCGAACATCGACGACTCATCTTCAGAAACTTGTTGGTGTCGGTAGTTCTTCAGTACGTACACTGGAACCGACAATTAACATCAATAAATGGGAGATATCGGTCTCATTCTTATTTTTTTTTTTAATCGGACACTTTGAAAATTAACCACAGGGACAATGCATTAAATCCTCTAGTGTCAGTTTCTAATTCTAATTTTTAATTAATCAATTATGAAAGATCGATCATGCCACTAATTAAATAATGTGAAACCGTTCATCCAAATACCTTCGACCAATACACTTGTGTATATGTTGAAGCTTGTAATATGGGGACTTATCGGAATGGAGAAATTACAAATCCGGTGGCGGTAACACGACTAAAATAACATACATCTATTGCTTGCATGAGTGTTGTACCTCCTGGTACTACGTAATATCAAAAAGCACACACTGAGTCCAACGACAAACGTTCAACATAAGGTACCATGGTTTGTCATGAGGTCACAGGGTAAAATATTAACCACAATACCAAATAGTATGCAATACTTTTACCACCTCGTGTGCAGGTTCTTAACCAATATAAAATTACACAATTCGTGTAACACAGGTATAATTTAGACTGATGGGCGCCAGTAGAGTTCAATATAACTATATGCACATATAAGCAGCAATAATGCACACCGGCCAGTCTTACACATACGACACTACTCATAAATTACGTGAAACCATAGTTTATTAGGTACACAAAACGTATGCTTGCTACAGTTCTCTCCGTCGGTATTGCCCGCCTTTGCAGAGGTTCAGCACAACACGCGGCCACGCACCAACGTGCGTCGAACAGTGCCAGTCGGCGGCGTCGTTCGGTGAATTATAAGAAGCCAGCGACGGTAGTTAGCGACTTGAACTCTTCCTTCTCACCCACAGCGCCAAGGCTTCCTTCCCAGTTAGACTTCAGACTGATGTTCAACGTCGGGTTAGACTATGGTAGTATGTGGTGGTACTGCTCGCCGCTTGCAGGGTAGTACAAAGCGTAAGCAAATAACACCGAATAAACGGCAAGGTAAAGACTATGTCTAATTATAGTAAATACGTACTGCGTGCGTGACTCGAACCGGCGCTCGCGTACGGCACCTAATCGCCAAGCTTCACGCCAATACACGTCTTCCCCTCGGCCACCGGGCATCCCCAAAAAAGGATGCTTAATAACCGAGCTTATTACGTGCAGAGAACATGAAACCCGTCCACGCGATACGCGCCACACAGCGTGGCCAGAATGCGGCAAAGGCCTTCAGATCTGGCTGTAGTAGGATGGTGAAAGTAATGGTACAGCATTGTAACAGTGAATAAGTACTGAGAAATAATTTT